AAAAAAAAAAAAGAAAACTATAGATTAGGCTCTTCTCCAGCCAAACAACGAGCACAAGTCAGCAAAGTAACAATCGATCCAAAAAAAACCCAAGCCCAAGAAACCTCTACCGAAACTGCGGAACCGCCTATACAGCAACCGAACCCGAGTCCCAAAACCGAGTCCCGAACCCATCTCCGATCGACTCACCTCCAACTGAGATAACAACGAACCAGCTCCCCATACCATCACTACCCAAACTCATCTAAAACAACTAGATAAGATCGAGAGTGTTGGACGCCCGTCGTCCCCAACACCAGAGGATCGGGGGTGAGATCTGCTCGGTGCCACAACTCCAAGTCGCCAACTACTCGACGCAATACATTGCAGTCGTCAGAGTCTCGCCCTGCCTCACTCACATCCCAATACTCCAAAGTCAGCCAACGATAAGCGCCCAAGCCCTGGGAGCTCCACCGAAAACAAGAAAGCAAACCCAGCCCCGCCCCATATGAAACAACGAAGCCCAAGCTCCAACGAAAAGAAAATTGTCCAAACGAGGACCTGCCGACGCCCGAGGGAGGACCACCGGTCTCTGACCGAGGCCGCACCACCGCAATCGAAACCGAGCAGGGACTTGGGCTCTTAGCCACCATTTTATAATTATATCGTTATATAATGACTCTTAGTTAGATTTTATACTCCAATGAAAAAGAAAAATATAAATTTTTGTCATAATTAACTTAATGACTCTTAGTTAGATTTTATACTTCAATGGAAAAGAATAATAATTTTTTTTTTTTTTTTCACAATTAATCCCTCTAAAAAGAGAGGGGAAAAAAATTAGCATTAAGGGGATAACCCCTAAGTATATACTAGTGTTGATACCCGTGCAATGCACGAGATGCAGTACATGATTTTTTTTTTTAAATATGATAAAATTATTTAAGACAATATGAAGTTTTATTCTCCACAATATTCTATTTAGTAATAATATGACATTTATTTATTTACTGTTATTGTTAATTTTTTATTTTCATATATTTCTTTTTGTAGTTTATAAGTTTATAAAGTATTATAAATGTATAAGATCATATGATATGTGCATACAAATTACTTGTATGTACTTATAAAATTATTGTTTATCATAGTCTTATAATTTTTTCAAGAATTCATAATTTGCACATTGTTTAATGATTGACCAACGTTTAACTCATAATATTTATCTTCTGATATTAGTTATAAAGTGCATTAAATGTTAAAAAACTTTGATAAATAAATTTAATTTTCAGTAACTTAATCCTTATGCAACACACAATTTTTTATGGTTAAATACTGTAATTTTAGGTTTTTATGTTTTTATTTATATCTATTTATTTATTTTACCTATATATTGAGTTACATTGTATCTATTCGAATATTTAGATATATTATATATTTTTATAATTACCAAGTGTTATTATTTAGTTATTATACATTGCTTTTTTATTAACTTATTTTTCATTTATAAAATAGTATAAAGAAAACAAAAATTAAAAATTGAATAGTCTATGTATATAGATACTTTTAAGGTGAAAAATTTATAATTCGGAACCGCACCCGAACATCAAATTTTATTTTTATTAGTATATTATTTAAATTTTCAATAAAATTCCCTGCATATGATATATTCAATGGGGATGTACCTTTTTATAGTTAAACTGACCACATTTAAGAAACTTTTATTAATATTTTAAATTATTTATTAAGTTTTTATGATTGAAACAAAGTTTTTTTATTATTTTATTAAATATTTTAGGTACTTCTGAATAATGAATATAATTAATTAGATTAATACCTACAACCATCGATGATAATATAGTTAATCAAATCAATATCCATAATGATTTTTTTGAATTGTGTCAATAAATTACTATAAGATTAATATAAGATCTAATAAATCTACGGTCAAAATTTCAATTTAAGCCAGTTTGTAGTTAATGAGTAACAATCATTGAGAGTATCAAAATTAATTATATTTTTCATGTATAAGATTTGCTGATAAATAAAAATTAATTAAATATAGACGAAAAAAATTTCCCGCCTAAATCATGACAATTATGGCAATAAGAATTGATCCATTATATAGATAAATATAAATATAGATATAGATATTAGTTTAGTATTATAACAACAATTTAAGTGGAGAATTTTCCATTAGAATAATCACTCCATAAATTTGGTATTTTTTCTTTATATTGGTGGTGTTCTTAAAACCTAGATAAAAATTATAATAAGACGGTCTCACCTAAATATTACTATAAAACAATTTAAAAATTTATCATTCTAATAAAATTATGACTTATAATATGGGGAAATGCTAGCATCCCGTTACGGGATGGTTCCCTTGTATTTTGTAGTCGCAGATATACATGTAATCTAGTAATGTGTAGATAATCTACTATTAAAAAATACAAGAGAACCATCCCGTAACCGGATGGTAGCATTCTCGATGCATTTTTTAGTAAAATGTGAACAACCGAAAATACTGGTCACGAAGTGTAACCCCCGCGAAAACAGCGCTGACCTCCGCATTTTTTTATAGTTATAAAGCCACTCACCTTTAGACATTCAATTCAA